TCAGGGTAAACCCTTCAACAAATAACGCTACCCAAAGATACCACTCTTAAAAAAAGAGAAAGTAAAAAGAGAAAAAGCCAAAAGGCAAAATAAGCCAAAGTTTATTTACTTCGTAAATAAGTAACTTAATTATCAGCCTAATTGGCCAAAAATCCAGGCTATTCTTTCCCTGTGGATTTTAAGAATTGCCAAAAAGAGTAAAAGCTATTCTCTCTCCTCGGACTTAAACTAAACAAAAAATAGTCAACTTACTCTGGCTGAACGTTCTCACCTTATTCATGGTGTCGCTTACTAGCAGAGCCATAGCTGAACTAGGTTGCTTTCAGTTCCGTTCAAGGATGGTTCGATTGGGGACTTCCTTTGCTATTTGAGTTTATTAAGTTTGGTTTAGTGTTTTTTCAAAGATTATGTTAATGAAACATTAACTGGGTTATTGGGTGGGAGCTTTGAGGTTTAGCCTCTGGCTCCCGTGATTAGGTGGGAGAGTTTACATGCTTTTCCCTCCTTTCCATAATTCCGCTAAACAGCTTTCAATTCGGTTTCATCGCTTTTGCCATTGCTCTTCGGCTTGCTTTTTTCGTTGTTTTTGTTTCCATTCTCTTTTGATGGCTTGATACTTCTTTCTTAGTCTGACTTGCTCTTGGGTTCAGCTTCATTCCGGGTTAAGGATGATATTTCCATGGTTGATAATTAATTCTCCTGCTTTTAGCTTGGCTTCGATTTGTTTTTGTTGAGCTTGCTGGATTTGGTCTAAGTAGAATTTATTTACCATGCTTTACCTCCTTTTAATTTAGCTCGCCGAGCTCGTTGTCTTTCAGCGGGAGTCATAGGTCTGCCTAATTCACTCTTATAAGCCCCTGGTCTTTTCTTAATTAAGCCTAAGAGTTCTTTCTCTTGTCGAGTGAGAGGTTGACCTTGGGCGAGTTTAGCTTGAGCTCGTTGAACTCTTTTCCTTTCGGCATCATTGGCTCATTTTCTCGGTCGACCTCCTTGGGCTCCCATTTCGACCCATTCGTCATAATCAAAGCCCGCGAGATGGTCGGGAGGGCTATCGTCAAAGATTTCTCTCCGAGCCACATACTCTCTTTTGGGAAGACGAGTATAAACTTCGTCCGGTTGTCCGGGAATTTGCCCGGTAATTTTGATTAATCTGCCTTGCCGGAGGATCCGAGGTTTTCGACCAGCCATCTTACTTCCTCCCTCCTTTCGGAAGTGTCTTTAATAAGGTGTAATGGCTTATACGGTTTACGGACAAGCTTAAAATATTGGCTGGTAAGTCTCGTAGAATGCGAGACTTGGAAAGGGGGTTTAGGTCTGTCACGCTAAGCCTTAATTTAAGCATGCTGACCTCCCAATTTCTCATAACCAACTCCTGTTCATTCAAAGGTTCCGTTGGTTTTCTGGGAACATTTAGCCGAATGCTTAAAGTAGATTTCCCCTTGGAGTTGATTGCCATAAAAGATACCGAGTTCATTGATTACTGAACAAACACAGAGAGCCTTGAGCTTTTTAGGCATGAGAACCTCCTTTTTTAACTCATCGGTTGCCGACCTTTTCAACTTGGTCGGCTTCGGTGAAGGTAAAGATAAC